CCCCCCCGCCCCCTGACCCCCATGGCGCATTACCAGTTTCCTGAACTCTTTGGATTTTCCAATTGAAAACATACATATCTAAGGGTTCAGAGTTATCATCCACTTAGAACATGTGCTGGTTGTCTTTCTGGGTCTGGGTTACCTCACTGAGGATGATTGTTTCCAGTTCTGTCCATCTGCAGATTTCATAATTTTGTTTTTCTTAATGAGTGAATCAGATTGTATCATGTAAATGTGTCACTTTTTTCATTATCTGTTGTCAGTTGATGAACAGGTTGTTTCCATTTCCTAGCTCTTGTGAATAGAGCAGCAGTGAACATGGATGAGCAGGTATCTCTGTAGTAGGATATAGAGTCCTTTGGGAATATGCCCAAGCGTGGTATGGCTGGATCATGTGGTATATCTGTTTTTAGTTTTTTGAGGAATCTCCACATTGATTTCCATAGTGAGTGTAGCAGTTTGTCCTCCCACCAGCAGTAAATGAGAGTTCCCCATTTCCACAGCTTCATCAGCATTTATCATCGTTCATTTTTTGGATCTTAGCCATTATGACTGGGATAAAATGAAATCTCAGCCTGGTTTTAATTTGCATTTCCCTGATGGCTAAAAATGTTGAACCTTAAAAAACAATATTGCTCAGCCATTTGCATTTCACCTCTTGAGAACTCTGTTTAATTCTTGCCTCGGTTTTTAATTGGGTTGTTTGATGTTTAGTTTTTTATATATTCTAGATACATACCCCAGAGGTATAGCTGGTAAAGACTTTTTTTCCCATTCTGTAGGCTGCCTCTTCACTTGAATGATAGTGTCCTTTGCTGTACAGAAGACTTCTAGTTTCATGAGGTCCTGTTTGTCAGTTATCGGACTTAATGCTTATGCTGTAGGAATCCAGTTCAGAAAGTCCTTTCCTGTACCTATACATTGAAGTGTATTCCCTACTTTCTCCTCTATCAGATTCAGGGTATCAGGTCTTATGTTGATGTTCTTGATCCATTTGGAGTTGCGTTTTGTGTGTGTTGAGAGAGAGGAATCAAATTTTCATTTTTCTGCACGTAACTGTCCAGTCTGACCAGCACCATTTGTCAAACATGCCGTCTTTTCTCTGATGTGTATTTTTGGCCCCTTTGTCAAAAAAGTG